TCTTTCCTGTCATAATCTCTCACTTGTTTATCTCCCAATTATTACCCTAATCTAGGTTCCCACTATAGTCTCATTTCATTTTACTCATTTTCCTTATCTCTACCTCAGTTCCAAAGCAATCTGTTTCAGTCAGTGCCCTTACCTATACAAGCTCTCCCCACAAAACCACCCTTTTTCCTCAATGCTTTTGTCCATGAAATAGCCTTTCCTCTACCTAAATTCCAATACTGAAAAGTAAAGAAAAAGGTTGGGAATGAACACAGGTAACCAAGAAGTACTATGTATAATTGGTGGAATAACAAAAATGCAATTTAAAGTTACAAAGAAGCTTAAAACCAAAAGCAAACCCATTGCCTAGAGTTATTTAAAGAGGATATTATTTAGTGACCTGTAGGCAACCACCTGTGTGGTGTAAATGGTTAATGCTCTCAGCTGCTAACCAAGTCAGAGGTGCCTCAGAAGGCCTGGTGGTCTACTTTAGAAAAATCAGCTGTACTCTGACACACCATGAGTCACCATGAGTCAGAATCAACTCCACAACTGATTTAGGTAACTACCTAAAAACAAAACTCAGAGACATTTAAAAGCTATTGCCTCTATGTAGTACTAGAGGTAGGAAAAAGATCATAGCCTTTCCATTATGAACTCTACTAAATGAGGGTTTAATATTTGCAGAAATAAAACTTTTTAAATTAAGAAAATCAACCATGCTAATAATCACCTCAGCAGAGTTATCCTGCTTCCTTATAATCTTGCCTTTTAATCTATCATGACACCTTAAGAACAATGTTAACCTGAAAAGAGCTACCTCTACTCATACACACAGAACAAATACGACACGCAATCAAGAGCTTAAGTGATTTTTTAGGGTCAATTAGATTTTGCAGGTTAATGACACTGGTATCTATTATTTTAGAAATAATCATTCTAAAAAGTTATGTTTGGTGTCTATAAATCAACCTCCACAGAGGTCCTGAACCCTAAACATACTCAAAGCTAGCTCACTAAAACACTGTATTCAATACATACTGTAAGGATTCCTTGAAAATCCCACCCTTACTTGAACTGGTTTTCCTTTTCATGCTTGCGTATCATCCCTCTACATTTTCTGTTAATGAAATGTGATGGTGCGATGGTTAAACACTTGGCTGCTAACCAGTCTGTGGTTCGAACCCACCAGCAGCTCCGTGGGAGAAAAGACCTGACGATCTTCTCCTATAAACATTACAGCCTAGGAAATCCTGAGTGGATTCTACTCTGTCATGTAGGGTTACAATGAGTTGGCATCAACTCGATGGCACACATTTTCTATTGCTTTTAAGAAAACAACATTTTAAGTTTCAGAATGCTACCAAGCTCCCTGGACACCCTAACTCAGAACTGAAGCCACTCCTGAAGCCCACCTTTCAGCCAAACATTAGACAGGCCTATAAAACAATAAAACATGTGAGGAACACGCTTCTCAGTTCAATCAAGACCAAATGGCCGACACCTGCCCAAAAGCAAAGATGAGAAGGACGGACAGGAAAACTGGGCGAATGGACAGAGAACTCAGGGTGGAAAGAGAAAGGGGAAGAGTGCTAACACTGTGGGGATTGCAACCAATGTCAAAACAATCTGTGTATAAAAATTTTGAATGAAAAACTAAATTTGTGCTGTAAACCTTCACCTAAAACACAATAGTTTTTAAAAAGTTAGAGATACATATATAAAGAATGCTACCTAGTAGGCATATATAAATATGCCTCTTGTGGTTTTCTACTAAAAATAACCTGTGTGACTCTGAGTATCCAACTCATTTAACTTGAGACCGTTATACCCATTGCTGTCGAGTTGATTCCAACTCAGTGACCCTATAGGGCAGAGTAGAATTGCCCCACAGGGTTTCCAAGGAGCTGGTGGATTCCAACTGCCAACCTTTCAGTTAGCAGCAGAACTCTTAACCACTGTGCCACCACTGCTCAGTTAAAGAACCTATAAAAAAAGGAGTTAGACTGCATAGTTCCTTTTTTCCTTAACATTTCTATAATCCTATGACTAGGATTAAGAGATACTAATATCATGTAATCCTGCTCTTACTGCTTAGTATATGAGGTCATTTATCCATCAACATACTGCAAATACTAATGAATATGCATAGGAAATATATACACTACCCACGGGAAACCGTGGTGGCACAGTGGTTAAGAGTTCAGCTGCTAACCAAAAGGTCAGCAGTTTGGATCCACCAAGCGCTTCTTGCAAACCCTATGGGGCAGTTCTATTCTATCCTATAAGGGTCGCTATGAGTCCGAATTGACTCGACAGTAACAGGTTTAGTCTTGTTTTATATTAAAAATGAAGGGCTGAAGATTAAAGACTTGAATGTTAGCTGTGTAAGTAAAGGCACTATTAATTGCCCCTAAATTAAATGTGTATTTTGTACATACTGCCCTAAAGCTGTTAGGCTGCAAAGGAGAAACAAAATACTATGTATGTTAATTCACTAAGAGAATAACATATACTTTGAGTTTCTCAAATTTTGTCCAGTTTTAACCAAGTGTTTTCCTTGATCTGTACGTGTGTTCATAACAGCTCTACAAGTACTGTAAATGGAATAGCCTAGTCTTTTCCGGTTCAATTCTTATTAAAAGTTACAAAAGGAATATTAAGTAGAATGCTAAAATTGTTTTAACACATTTTTTCTGAAACCAAATGAGGAAAAATGAATATTACAACATGAATACATATTTTTTTAAGGTAGGACCCAGCCCTAAAAGCTTATTAGATAAACCATGTTATCCACTGAAAAATTTAGATTCTCTGATGATCAAACAAAACATGTCAAGCGTTTACTGGCTTTTGAAAATTTGACCATCCATTGCTAGGGATTGACATGAGAGTTCACTTGAACTTCATTTATCATCCTTGATTTTTAATACACAGTCTTGCTACACAGCAGAGCACTACACACTTGTATTCCCAGTCAGGAGCAATTTCTGGGCAGCAGAAACTCATAGGTCTGCTGCATGATGGTTACAAGCTCCCTAGAGACACAAAGTAACGATCAGCTTTGCCAAGTGAAATAACTACTACAAACCCTGACCAACAGAGACTCCTCTATCAGGGTTAATGAAGGAAGTGGTTATCCATGGATAATTCGCAATCATTAGACTTTCGAAACAGTCAGATTTAACAAAACAATGGCTCCTTTGCCAAACCAGAACAAAAGTTTAAAATTAGCCATCCTGTTGGTGGTCTCAGACTGAGTAGAAAATAGCCCTCTTGCAGTTTAGCCAAAATTTATCTTATGTTAAAACTGCATTAAAGTCTATACAAATATATTAAGTACTATCACTGCTACATCATTTTATTTGATCTTCACAAATACCCTGCATAGTAGTGGGCAGATAATTTACCTAGATATGGAAATCGAGGCTCAGAAGGTTTTGGCTCTTTCATCTGGGGTAAAAGCTGACATTAAAACTCAGGACTTTCTGAAACAATTTCAGTCTTTTCCACAATACTATGCAACCTTTCCAGAAAGAAGTATGTGAATATATGGAAACAAAGCTTTATCATCAATACCAAACAACTCTGGATTTCTCTAAAATTTGGATTAGAACCTCACCAAATTATATTCTATTTTCAAACAGATTTAATTAGAACTACCAATTCCAGCTTATTTTTCATTTCAAAGACCTGGTACATTTTCTGCATTTATCATCATACGCTCATCACTATGAAACCTGTCAAAGAGGAATATCTGTTTTTTTTCCCGTTTAAAGTTACATGGAGACTTAACTGGTAAGTACCCAGAAATAAGATATAAACCGTTTCAAGGGAAAACATGCATGCATTTATTTGTAAGCATTCCCAGGTAAGGGGGGAAAAAAAATTCAACATCTTTAAAAATGTGTTTATTTTTTAAAAAATCAGTTGTGTACAAAAGTGTTTCGTAGTTTTTAATTCTCAAGACAAATACCCAACCCTCCACCCACAGCCCACCCTACTTCAATGGTCTTTCTGGTAACCCATCCATTTTCCCCTTACAGGAAGTTAACGGCTCAGAATAGACCCTCCTACAGAATTTATCATAACTAACAGATTGTTTAGAATAGAGATCTGGAGAAGCTAACAAGCAAGGTTCTTTCTCAGTGAGGTTAATGAGAATCCCTATAATGGCAGTAGGCTTCCAGCAGACACCACAACAAAGCACCATCAACTGCTGAAAGCTAAAAAATAGATATTATTTTCAATAGCAATTCATTTTCTATTGAAAAGGTCTTTAAATTACATTAAATAAGTCTCTTTCCCCCCAAAGAAATAGTCTAGCTTTATTATGATGCCTGGAGAAAGGAAAGAACAGCAAGCAGACAAGGATCATAAACAGCACAGTGCAATTTGCATCCACTCATCCCCTAGAATCAAACTGAAAAACTGTGCTACACTGATTATATATAGCAGCATGGTTGAAATAACCAAGCAAGAGGTGACACATTCACAACTTACATTTAGGTGATGTTCACAGGTTTATGAGGGTAGATCAGTCCAATAAAGCGGTAACAGAATGGGACAACGGAACCATTAATACTCCCCTACCCCTATGCCACAGCATTTTTGATCCATGTTGCAACAGTGCAATTAAAACATGTGACATATGTAGACACTGCAGAAAAGTCACACTTTGGGGGAAAAAAAAAAAAAGGCTATTTATCAGTAAATACTTCAAGTTGCCTTCTTCCCCAGTGATAGCAACTAGTTGATGTTACGCATTTATTTTAAATTGGTACTAAAATATTGGAAATGTAAATTTTTAGAATCAATGGTTTGTACCCTGGAACTGAAATTCCTTACACTAGAAAAAGTGATTAATACAACACCATTTTATAAAAGCCCCTGAAATAAAGTTAACTGTAAACAGAAGCTTCCTTTTTCTTATCTAAACATTGTTTCCATCTACGTACAGGACGAAGGTATACCCGGCTCCAGCTCTTCCCTGCTCAAATCCATCTTAAATCTTTAAAACAACAACAAAAAAATTCTTAATTTCCTGTGCTGCTACACAGGATTATGGAAATACCACTTCCCTACTGCAGAGATTTAAAAGCCTAAATCAGTCATACACTTATAGCCAAGATCTGCTTTTCATATTTAGAACTTATTAAGCAGCCTAAGCATTAACACAATATGCTGCAATCTGTAGTGCATAAATAAGCAAAATCCACTTTAATTGCCAATTCTTTCTTAAGATACTTAAAAAGAATATTTTGCATAGTTTTGAGTGCCAACGACAATCACAAATGTGATGTACTTAAAAAAAAAAATCAGTCTTAACTTCATTTCATAGATTCCTCTCCTCAAAAGCAAAATACTCTGACTACACTGATACAGCCTTAGATATATTATGTATTTAAGTAACCCACACTCAATTCTAAACATTTGGGGAAGTCAATTCAGAGCATTTAATTTAGTACCAAGTTCCTCGAATATTTAGGTATCTATACACTGTTGTATACTTATTTGGATGCAAACTACTACTCATTCATCCTGTAGTCAAATACCATACAACTAATTATTTTTTCTTTCAAAAGTCAGGCACACGCTCAGGAAATAGATCCAATTACAAAAAAACCTATTAGAGTATTAGAGACTTCTAGAAAATCTCCCTGCCCTAACTGGGATTTAACTGTACTTTTTTAAACCATACTTTATGAGGTCTTTAAAACTGACAGATCTCAAAAACACTGACAATTATAAAAATAATTTCCACCAGGGTACTTCTTTCCTAAGTGTAAACTTTTAGTGTCTTTCTTTGTTCCAAACATTTAACGTAAGAGGGAAAAAAAGCAGTTGCCTTAATTTATGTCTGGGGAAATAAATCCACCTGTAGTGAAATGAAAAACAACATTAACAAAAGGGACAATGGGAAATGTACCAGAAAGGAAAGTGGGATTATTATCACATTACATGTAAATGAGGTAAACAAATTTTTATAATAAAAAATCCACTATGGAGAACCTCTCAAACCAAGTTATCATCATACTTTCCAATTTCCTGGGCACTAGGGATGTTAAATTATAGTTAGATGAGTAGGTACCCTCTGGGGCTAATTAAGTATAAAAATCAAAGGCAAGATATAGCTGCCCCTAATCGTGAAGTAACTTCTGAGTTCTCGCTCTCCTTTGTCTAACCACAGGACAATTAAATATACCCTGATAATATAGGCAAATAGTAAACTATGTAGATGTATTCAATATTAAAAAAATCCAATATTACTTATATCACCAAGCCGCCCTCCGCTAAAAAAATTCTGACCAACAATAGAGCAAAACTGTCCACATTTTCACACATTTCCACCTAACTTCAAAATATAAAGTATAAGGTTTTAACTGCTTAAAATAAATAAAGAAAAGTCTTATTTCCTTTGGCATCTTTAGAAAATATCTAAACAATAAAAGGAGATGATTATATGAAGAAATTTCTGCTTAAGTGAACATATGGGGAAAAAAACATAGCAACTTGTGTTTACTATGCAATAATACCAACTACAAGAGTTTACTGTTGATTAGGAAAGCCTTTTAAGTTTTTGGAAGAACCTTCACATCCTTAACATTTAATATATTAATTAACATATTTAATTTTTTTTTAATTGCTTCTAGCATTAAGATTACTGAGAAGTCAAATGAAGTTATGCCGAATTTACAGTTCAAAAAATTATTTTCCAAACACTTTAACCATTATAATTTATGATAACACTTTAAGAAAACAAACTTTTTATGACTTTCTATGTACAGCCTTACTTTAATTCAGTCTGATTCCATTACAATTTTGTTATTTTGCATTGGTCCTGAAAATTTAATAAGAATTATGTTTCTATGTATAGGACTGCCTGCATAAGTCACTTCAACCTTCATAAAATGGTCACGTTAGTGTTTGAGCTTGCCAAACTAATAATTTTCAAACTAAGAACTTAGAATGAAATGTAACTTTAATATGAACATAAAGTCTGACTATGTACAAGAGAAGGTAAAGTTTTCAATTCTTGTATTATCAGAAACATCATAAAGAAAGCTAGATTTGTAACACACTTCTATTTCTATGTGCATCTGAAGTATGTACAGTAAAACACCAGCACAGCTTTCATGTGTCAATATGGGGAAAATGCAAGCAAGAGTGACTTTTAAAGTATCCAATAAAGCAATCTCTATAAAGCCCAAAATTAGGCTAAAAAACTACTGCAAACAGCTGACAGCATCCTTGCAAGTTCTCAAAGAAAAATTTCATCTACTAAGACAGTTTTAAAAATAGAAAGATGTCAAATTCACTGTAAAACTAAACCGGATTCGTTCATTCTGGGAATACTGCAACATCAAGTATTTACTGTTTTTGCAAGACAAAATTGGCAGCTCCATTTTCACATTATTACTTACATAGGAAAGCTTTAAGGGTGTTTGAAGAATTGTGACAAAACATTCCAAGCCTATTACCTAAAAATGGAGCAAGGGATACTGTCCCTCAGCACACTTCCCCACCAAATACAGAGTATTAGCTGTGTGTGGTAGAGGGGAAAAAAATAGATATGATGTCCCAGTCTGCTGACAAGGACAAAAACGCTCTGAATAAGGTCACCATCTTCAATTCTGGATAAATCTCATTTTAAGAATTCTTAAATGCTTAAAATGGTGGTCTTTTCAGCTACCCATCCTAAGAAGTCAAGTACAAGCATGCAAGTAAATTCACAGGCACAGAGGATCCATGTTAAAAAGAGTTAAGGTAGCTGTGATGCAACACCAACAATTTGAATGGTCCTGACACACTCAAAATAGTATCTTAATTATTCAATAAAATCCTGAAGCAAACTCTTGCTAGTCTTGGTACACTGCTAAACAGTAAAGTAGCATGTTTTTTCCATGGTTTTAGCCTAGCTCAAAGAATTTTTACACTATCGAGTAAGAAAAAAATTAAAGTATTTCCCCTTTTTAAATTTACACAGACGTTTAATTAGCTTTATTTACAGAGCAGGTTTTTTTTCAGTCTCCAATGGTGCCTAGATAACATCATTAGGCAAGAATGCCAGTTTAAAAGAAATCTATGCAGAATCCTAAAAATAACAGATGTTGATGCTCCTCAAGAAGGGGCAAGCTCGACTACATCAGCAGCTCTCATTCTAAGCCTCAGTTACTCAGAAGCAATTCTGTTGCAGTCTCTACATCCCATGATTTTGAAGACAAGGCCACTATTACTGCATTCTGTAGAGGAGAAAAAGGGATTAAATAAATAAAAGTTCAAAGAAACATTCTCAAAATACTGTCTTTATATTGAGAAATTATTTTTCTTTTCTATAAGTTGTGCTGCATTTGCTGCTAAAAATCAATGTTTAGAATTAAAACAAAAAACTATCAAGAATAACCAACTTTAGTAACTAAGAAGAAAATCTGTTTATCAAAACTTTATTTAGATATGTCTCTTATTCTCTGAACTACTTTTGTCAGACAAGGCTTTGCAGCAATAATTTAAAATCAATCAGTATATCAAAAATCAATATGCCCTTAAGTACTTACCCTATCAAAGCCCATAGCACATAGATTTTCTATTTTTTTGGTGTATTCTGGACTAGAAACTGGTGCTCCAGCATACACATGTGCCCAAAGTCGAGCTGTCTGTTTGAACATTTCAGGATTTTGTTTGTACTATATAGGGGGAAAAGAAATTGATTCACATGACAATACAATATTCAATACTGGTAGTTCAGCTCTTAATTACCCAAGCCTGCTTTTTCCCTAATAAAACTAATTTACATTTAAAATGTGATTGACTTTCCATTGCAACAAGCTAAGTCACTCAAGACTATCTGTCCTAAAACTCTGACTCACAAGTTATGCTAATTGAAGAAAAACAAATTCAAATAACATTTATCAACTCTAACCTCCAATTTCAACAAATACAAGTAGCAAAACATTAATACTAACTGAAGCGAGGTATTAGAGATGTTTCTAAACACTGTGTAGCTGCAAACATTATCCAGCTAAACACTGAAGGATATGACATGTAATTTTGCAACACCAGTAACAACCAAAAAATATGTGACTGGTTACATAAATATGTATACAGGTTTATATGTGTACAGATATGAATATACAGGTATATATGTGTGTACAGACAGATGTATCTCTAGGCAGATGTACACACGGTATGTGTGTTCACACATGTATACAAATACATATTTAAAAAATCACATAGGGGACACAGTTACTTCTTAGACATAACCAAAGACCTTGTGAGATTTGTTTTCTGAGTTTGAAGAATTAGGGCCATGGTCTTGTAGGACAATTTAGTTAATTGTCAAGTGTATGTTCTACATCCCAATGTGGTGAGTAGTGTCTGGGGTCTTAAAAGCTTGTAAGAGGCCATCTAAGATACAACTACTGGTCTGTACTTGTCTGGAACAAAAGAGAAAGGAGGAAACCACAGACCCAGAGAAGAAAGTAGTACACAGGTCTAATAGTCTGTATGAAACATGGCCTCATCTACCTTGAGGCCAGAACAACTAGATGGTGCCCAGCTACCACTATCAACCGTTCTGAACAGGGCCACAACAGATGGATCCTGATAGAAGGGGAGAAAAATGTGGAACAGAACTCAAATTCTTAAAAAGTCCAGACTTACAGGACCGACTAAACTATATCGTCCTGAGATACTCTTTAAACCTTAAAATTATCCCTTGAGGTAACCTTTTAGCTAAACAACAGATTGGCTCATAAAATAAAGAATATCACCCATTAGTAATGAGCTCCTTTAAAAAATCATCTATTGACCAAACGGTCAACAATTACTCAAAAACAAAGGTGAGAAAATAAGGGGGCAGGGAAACTAGAATACTGGAAGTACTACAACCAGAACAGAATGAATGAGAATGATGACACATTATGAGAAAATGTAACCGTAACACTGAACAGTTTGTGTAGAAATTATTAAATGGGAACCTATTTTGTTGTATAAACTTTCACCTCAGACACAATGAAATATTAAAAAAAAAAAGAATTTTGGCAATGAAGCTAGGTTTGTAGATAGTTCAACTCATGTAGGGAACTCTTCAAACTAAACAATTTGGACTCAATTAAATTGGTAATAGTAAAGTTATAAAAGATTTAGTAGTAAAGTAAAATAAAATCTGCACTTTATAAAGTTAACATATCAATGTAGAAGACGAAGGAGGGTAAGAAGAAACTGAGGAAAGCACATGTATCAGAGCAGCTGAAATGAGAACTATGAAGAATTTAAATTAAGGTAATCAGTGGAAGTATGTAAAAACTGTGACCGACTGATACTGGGAATGGAATCAACAGGGGAAAAGGAGACACAGGGAGGACTCCAAAGTCTGTGATTTGGACATGTAGCTAAGTAGATAATGGAAAGATAGACAGGTTTGCAGGTTTTAAGATTCTGCATTCAGTTTTGGCAGTGTTGTGCTCAGATATCCATGGGGCATTCAGATAGAGATACAGCTATCCAGCTGCGAACAGGCTCTTATGCTCAGGAGAGAGGTCAAGCCTGAACATTTTATCTGTCTACGTACAGGTGGTAACATCAGCGTGGATACGATCAACCAAGTGAGAGTACATAAGGAAGTAAAAGGAACAATGTCAGAACCCAGAAAGCATGTTTAAAGGGCAGGAGGAAGATAAGAAATAATTGTAGTAAATAAGAAGACAGTGTCTCAGAAGTCATGGGAGGAAAAAATTCCTAGGGGGAAAAAAAGAATGTTCAGGAAATCCAATGTCTTAGAGCAAGAATTAGCAAACTTTTTAAAAAAGGCCAGATAAATATTTTAGGCTTTCAGGCTATACTGTTTCAGTTGCAACTACTTAACTCTGACACTGCAGCTGGAAAACAGAGTAAACAAATGTGTGGCTGTATTTTTTTTTCTTCCCATACAAAAATTTATACATACATTGTTATGTGACCCTGATTGCTCTCTCCATATCGTGACAGCACACTCCTCCTTTCCACCCCTGATTCCCCATGTCCATTCAACCGGCTCCTAAGCCTCTCTGCCTTCCCACCTCACCTCCAGACAGAAGCTGCCCGTTTAGTCTCTTGTATCTACTTGAGCTAAGAGGCACACTCCTCACGAGTTACCACTTTATGTCCCACAGTCCAGTCCAATCCCTGTCTGAAGAGTTGGCCTCGGACTGTTTTAGTTCTGGGCTGATAGAGAAGCCAGGGGCCATGCCTTCCAGGGTTCCTCCAGTCTCAGTCAGACCATTAAGTCTGGTCTTCTTACTAGAATTTGAGTTCTGCACCCCACCTTTCTCCTGCTGTGTGCGCTGTATTTCAATAAAACATTATTTATAAAAACAAGAGGCCGGACATAGTTTGCTGACCCCGTGCCTTGGAGAGATCAAATAAGACCAGAACTGAAAGATATTTATTCAATTTTACAATTACAAGGTCACTGATTATCATGCCAATTCAGTGCCACAGTAGAAGCTAATTAGAAATATCATTAAAAAAATCATCAACTATGCACCCAATTAAACGAGTATGTTAAAAATCAATAAATAAAGTTTTCACATCTGACAAAATACCATACCACAAAAAAGGGAAACTATTTCCAAATTTAGTTTCAAGACAGTATGGTAATGTCTTGCAAAATACTAACGTAAAGACTCAGGTAAGTATACAGAAAGCCTTTCAAAAGCAGCCATCTTACCTGATTTGCTACTACTGCATCTTGTGGATCATCTGGTTCTGCAGCTGCTAATAGTGCTTGCAATGACAATAACACCGTACGAAGAGTCATTGCTGCTGCCCTAAAATTCAAAATAGGAAAATATTCCTGTTAAGTGGGCTCTGCATGGCAAAAGTAAAGTGGATGCTTTCTGAATGAATAGTAAAGACATGCAAAAAACTACCAAAGCTAAAGGTAACTTAGATTTTATCTCAATTGTATAGTTCTTGTTAAGTTACAGAAATTTATAATTACACATCTGCCTACTGTTATTCTTTTCTTCTTTACAATGAGCCTTTTAATTTTGTAAGACAACTAAACCATCCAACAGGCCTCGTTTTTTTTCTTATTGTTGCCAATATCCTTTTCAGCTTTATCCACTGACTTCCTTTCTATCCATTTCTGCAGACGTAAAATCAAGTGATAAACCATGAGTATCACAGCCTGTGGAAATTTCTTTCAATGGTACTCAAAAACAAGTATATATGATCAGCAAATTTTACTTTCAAGAAAGCCTGAAATCATTCCATAACATTCTGAATAGAGCAAAGTTTTCTACTTTTAATACATCTTTAATTTATGCTTCTAAATACATGTATGAAGCAAATATTAATCTAGAAAATAGGTATCTACCTACCCAGCAAGAATTCTTGGCACTTCTGTTAAAAAAAAACCTGTTCTACATTAATACTGAAATATTTTTAAGCAAACATAGTATTTAAGTATTTAAAATGCTGAATAATATTAAATGGTACGCTCATTTTTACCACACAAATTAGACGATTCTAAACCAGACTTTTTTCGATCACAGAACACAGGGACTTACTATTTTCTCAATTTTCCCCGAAGATGGTACGTAATTAGTACCATCCTAGATGCTAAGGGAGTCCCTGGGTGGTGCAAATGGTTAACACGCACAGTTGCTAACCAAACAGTTGGAGGTTCGAGTCCATCCAGAAGCATCAGAGAAGAAAGGTCTGGCAATCCACTTGTACAAAATCAGCCAGTGAAAACCCTATGGAGCACAGTTCTACTCTGACACACATGGAGTTGCCATGAATGGAAGCTGACTTGTCAACAACTGGTTTTTCTGAGATGCTGAGCAGAAAAGTTAATTTATTACCTACAATGGATAGGCAATGAATCTCACAAAGTACGGTGCTCCAACCAGCTGCAACAGCATCAGCATCACCTGGGAACTTATAAGAAATACAAACTCTCAGCTCCACTCCAAAGTTACTGAATCAGAAATGCTGAGGGTGTTTTAAAAGGCTCTCCAAGTGATTCTGATGCTCACTATTGAGAAATACTGCCTTAGATCATTACAGCTTAAGCCAACTGAGAAAGACTGTTTTAAACCAATAGTAGGTCTGTATTTTACACATTAGAGAAAATTTAAAATTCTTTGTCTAAAATGCTATTAGAATACAGATTTAATTCATCTGTTTATCCCTTTAGAGAAGCTACATGAATAGGAAAACATTGGTTATAAAGCTCAAAAATTATCTGAAATGCTATATTAGCATTTAAAAGAGAATAAGATTTTAAAAGCTTTTCAAACTACTATATAGTTTTATGTAATGGAGATTTCTAATCTGAAATAGGGCAGGTTAAGAAGAAAATGTTTTCCTAGATCAAGGTTCCAAATTTCCCTAAGAGCTTACACAAGTTATTTTCCACCAACAGTTGTTAACATCTTTAATATGGACAATCTTCTTTTAGGACAGAAGTTAAAACACAAAAATCAAATCTTGTCCTGTCATTATCATTATAATGGGGGAAGCATTATAATGTTTCCTTTATTAGAAGTATACTACTGTAATTTGATTTTATGTTTGGGTAATTTCAAAGAGAATGTTTAAAGGCACATGTACTTCAAAAGCTAACTAGATGTATCAGCATGAAGCTGACTTCAAAGACCACAAAGAAAAGGACAAAACCACAACATATTACTTAAGTGAAATTTTCTAAACATCCTAGTTTTAAAACCCATGACATCACTTCAAACATTATCTAAAGCTATATAATTTTCAATACAATTATTTCCTTTAAGGGAATTTTTCTGAATGTGTAAGAAAAAACCCATAGCCATCGAGTCGATTCTGACTCATACAGGACAGAGGTGAACTGTCCCATAGGGTTTCCAAGGCTGTAAATCTTTATGGAAGCAGACTGCCACATCTTTCTCCCGCGGAGCAGATGGCAGGTTTGAAACGCCGACTTTTTGTGAGGACTTTAACCACTGTGCCACTAAGCCTCCGTTGAAGAAAAATCTTCACCCAGAGGAAGTATTTCATATTTATGCATAGAAATAATCATGTCTTAGAACTGACAAATATAAACAAGTATTAAACTCACAACAGTAATTTTAACTTGCAACGAAAATACAAAGTATGTAACATAAAAGCATCTAAATTTTGTAAGAGCAAGACCATAGACACATCACATAGGTATATATATATATGTATCAATGAGACAATACTTTTCTTTAAAAAGCTTAAGTTCTTCCCTTAGAGGTTCATAAATTCTTTTTAAATAAGGACAGAAATGTACTGTCTCATACTTCCTGAAGCTAGTAGTCTGAATTCAGGGTGTCAGCAAGGCCATGTTCTTTCCAAAGGCTCAAGGGAGAGGTCCTTTCTTGACTCTCCTGGCTTCCGGCAGCCTCAGGTGTTCATTGGTTTGCAGCTGTAGCATAAATCTGTGGTCACACAGTCGTCTTTCCTCTGTCTCTTCTCCTCTTTCATAGGACACCACTCAGATTCATAAATTCTTAGAGTTTCTATCTCCTCTTTTTGCAGTGTCTTGCTATTTGGAGGAGCACTGGTGGCGCAGTGGTTTAAGCATCTGCCTACTAACCAAAAGGTTGGCAGTTCGAATCCACCAGCTACTCCTTGGAAATCCTATGAGGGCACTTCTACTCTGTCCTATTGAGTCGGAACAGACTCGACGGCAACGGGTTTGGTTTTTGGTTTTTTTCCTATTGGGAAATCACTCAAATTACTGTAGACATCCTGGAGTAACCATTTTAAGAATGAGAAAATAAGGACCTAAAGTTAAGCCAATTTAAGAACAGTTTTGCCCTCAAAACTGAAGAAAAAATTTAGATGCTATAACTTCAGATTCAATTCACAGCAATCTCAAAAAGCGGAAGTTTGCTGTAAGTTTTTGTATTCTTGAAATTTTTCATAATAAAATTATTTTGGGAGGAGATTATATACCATTATTGGTTGTCTAAAAGAAATTTAAATGCAAAATTTCATAAAGATGAACACAAAATCAATGGTAAAAAAAAAATGAGTGTTTTGGTAATCAGTTGGTAAGACAGTTAAAGTAACAACAAAAAAACTATCTTCTGACCTTAATTAAAGATTGCAGAAATGATACAATCTTTGATGATAAAATTAAACGGGTCTATTTTTTTTACTGCTATACATTAATTTTAAGATGTAAATTTTATAATGTGAACAAGTATATAGCTGAAAACACAATCTCTTGTTTTTATTCCATTTATTATTCTTTTCACAAAGTACTGGTTAAATGCATACTGCACTGAGGTTTTTAGGATCCAAGCATATAAAAACAGCTTAAATCTATTACCAAAAAATCCTAATAGGCAGAGTATGCAATTTCAAAATGTGTTATTTTTATTAATCAGTGAATCATGTGAATAAGTACCTCACAAATCTATCTTCAGTAAATTAATTTTGCTTGAGTCTCAAATCAATAAGCATAGTTAATATAGCTAATTAAATCATTCACAAGGACTCAATACGGCTTTTAATACGTGGAATAATCATGTAAATTGTTCATATTGTTGACTATTTTGTTGAGTGAGGATCTTCCAGAAAATCATCAGTGAATAATCCACGTTTATTCAAAACACCAAATGCTTCTTAAAGACAATGGTAGCTTTTGTATTATGAGTTCTCTACTGAGGTATAACAAGCAAAGTAAAATGTTGTACCATATGGATGAATTTTTACATATGTATACATCCATGTAACCATTATCTGGATCAAGATATAAAATATTTCCAGCACCTGAAAAGCCTCCCTTGTGCCCCTCCCATTCACAACCCTCTCCTACCCCACTACTATCCTAATTTCTATCACCATATAGTTTAGTTTGGATAGTCTTAAACTTCATAAAGACAGCCTCATACAGTACTCTTTTGTGTCCGGCTTTTGTCACTCAACATGTCCACGAGACCATCCATGTTGTTTGTATCAATAATATGGTCTTTTTTTACTACATAGCGTTCTAATATATGATTATACCATACATCCACTCTCTTGTTAACAGACATATGGGTTATTTCCAGTTTGAGGCTACTACAAATAAAGATGGTATGAACATTCTTGTAATGAGTCTTTTGGTGGGTATATGCATTCATTTCTCTTCGATACATACTTAAGTATGGGACTGCTGGGCCACAGGGCATATGTTTAGCTTTAGTAAGATACTGCTGGTGTTAACAGGTCGAACCACAATGCATGATAGCCAACTGCAAGATGTGCTGTTGTTGCTGAGTGGTCTCAAGTTGATTTCAACTCACAGGGACCCCATGTGACAGAGCAGAACTGCCCCACAGGGTTTTCTTGGCTGTAATCTTCACAGAAGCAGATTTCCAGATCTTTCTCTTACAAAGTCACTGGGTAGGTTCGAACCACCAACCTTTCAGTTAGCAGCCAAATGCTTAACCATTGTGCCATCAGGGCTCCTGCATGTGTCCAAAAAACCAAACCCACTGCCGTTGAGTTGATTCTGACTCACAGCAACCCTGTAACAGAGTAGAACTTTGCCACATAGGGTGTCCAAGGAGTGGCTGTTGGAGTCAAACTGCTGACCTTTTGGTTAGCAGCCGAACTCTTATTAACCACTGTGCCACCAGGCTCCCCTGCATGTGTCCCCCCCAAAACAACCCACTGCTGTCGAGTCGATTCTAACTCAGAACAACCCTATAGGACAGAGAAGAACTGCCTCATAGGGTTTCCAAGGAGCAGGTGGTGGATTCGAAGTGTCAATCTTTTGGCCAGCAGCCGAGCTCTTGACCACTGTGCCACCAGGGCTCCATTTTCTACTATACATGTCCCAAATTATCCAATGTTTATGCAGTTCATGGTTTTCCTCATGAAAATTACTATTCTGTATTTTTCTCTATCAAATTCCAGTTCTAAAGCCTAAACATTCACATTTAAACCTGGATAGCCAATGAATGTTAATTATACCTCTATAAAGCTGGAGAGGAGGGACCCATGGATATCTGATCTCACCTATTTCGTCTGATGTGTCCTTTGATGTCTTTTAATATTTCATTTGTATAGATATAAAACAGACTAAATTCAGCTATTTCACCTGCCTTAGGAAAAATGATAGTTAATAAAAATGTTTTGCTACAAAAATTCAAGTTCTCCAGGATACAAGGAAAAGATTAGTCCGAAGGACTAATTGTCCACAGCTACCAAGACCTCCACCCGACTGAGTC